AAATTTGAGTCAATTTCAGTCGAGTTTACCTCTCTGATCGTTGCTGTAGTTAGAAGAATTTCTGTGGAATACACTTAACGAATTTCCTCGCTTTCTGCTATTAAATTTACGGTAGAAAAGTCACGAAGTGATTGAAATGGTTTTTGTAGTAAAACTTCAAACTTCGCACGAAATTTCACAACGCAAAAACAATTTTGGAGAACTTAACTGGTGAAATAAATGCAACTAACACAAAGTAGTTCGAAAAAACCTGTTTTTTAATACATCTTTCTTTGCCTACTATCTGAGTTACTCGCTCGTTGCCGAGATTTTTTAAAAATCGTTAGTAGACGGCGCGCAAGCCGATTCAATGCCAAGAGTTGCGTAAACAAACCCATTTGTAATCTGTAAAACCAATTTACTACAGGAAAAAATAAAAAATAAACATGTTATTTGCCGGCTTACGGTCGGTCCGTGTGGTGAAAAAACTGTGACCTCGGGCAGCATTTTCAAGACCTCGGTCACAGTTATTCACCTCCCAGCCAACAAATAACATATATCTCTAACTGGGCGGAGTTGCGTAGCGACAGTGCCTAATTCGAAGATCAATTTTAACCCTTTGTCAAACAAAATTATGGAAGATTTGTTACGTTAAAATGTGATATGTATCGAACTAAGCATTTCTTCGTGTTTCAGATCGCTATCCTTGTCAGCTAAATAATAGTGGGTGCAGTCATTTGTGTTTAATATCTTCGGCCGGAAGTAAATGCGTCTGCCCCAACCACCTTACTCTACGAGAAAATGGGAGAACCTGTTATCATAAAGGTACGGTTGGACTGGCTAGTGATACTCGTATTGTGGCAGTCTTGTATTCGCATTTAAGGTGACTCAAAATAGGTTCCAGCACTTTCCAATTATGTTTGATTATAATGGGTCATTATAATCACTCTTTGTCAAATGATTCTGCAATCATGGCATCAAAAAACTGTCCAATCATTGGTGAACAAGTTGTTATCATTTTCGTGCCACCATAGAGTACCATAGCAACGGTATAACCTACTAAAAACACCCTTAATTAGAGCTTTAAAGGCATAAAATTAAAAAACGGCACGGTGAATTTTTAAGCAGGTTACACTGTTGCTATGCTAACCTATTGTGTCACGAAAATGATAACGACTTGTTCACCAGTGATTGTGCAGTTTTTTGATACCATGATTGTTGCATCAATTGATAAAGAGTGGTTATAATGACCCATCAAAATTTAAGTCTTGGAAAGTGCTGGAAACTGTTTTGAGTCACGTTAAGCCGCATTGAAGACAGTATAAACTTTCTTGTGCCGTTTTTTACCCACAGGTGTTTTCAAAATCAACACCTATCCCATAATACTTGTCGCAGACAACCACAACAATTATTTCAAGCATCACCTCTCAATTTTAGTTCGTTATTGAGTTTTTCTCCCATGTTTGTAAGCCGTCGAGACTAAATTCCTATTTTCCCACGATTTTGAGTAAGTTTCAAGCGTAAGACGTTAATTGCCTTTTTTGTTTTTTCAGATTTTCAGAAATTCCTGTTGTTTGCCGAAGGCGGTAAATCTGAAATATTCATATTTCCTTTGGATGGTTCCAGCCCAGAGGCCAAACCTCTACCAATAGAGCTAGACATGTATCATCCGATTGCACTTGATCTCGACATTACAGAAAACAGAATTTACTGGACAGACACTTACCTGAACACAATCTCGAGGGTGTTTATCAATGGATCATCACCTGAAG